CAAAAGTGGGCTTGAAGCTCAACATCAAAAAAACTAAGATCATGGCATCCGGCCCCATCACTCCTTGGCAAATAGAAGGGGAAGTCGTGGAAGTAGTGACAGACTTCACGTTCCTGGGATCCCAGATCACCGCAGACTGTGACAGCAGCCATGAAATTAAAAGACGCCTGCTCCTTAGGAGGAAAGCGATGGCAAACCTAAACAGCATAATAAAAAGTAGAGACATCACCCTGCCAACAAAAGTCTGCATGGTCAAAGCAATGGTATTCCCAGTAGTCATGTATGGCTGCGAGAGTTGGACTATAAGGAAGGCCGAGCGCCGAAGAATAGATTCTTTTGAACTATGGTGCTGGAGAAGACTCTTGAGAGTCCCTTGGACTGCAAGAAGATCAAATCAGTCAATCCTAAAAGAAATCAACCCTGACTGTTCCCTGGAAGGCCAGATAATGAAACTGAAGCTCAAATACTTTGGCCACCAAATGAGAAGGGAGCACTCACTGGAGAAGACCCTGATGCTGGGAAAGATTGAAGGTCAAAGAAGACGGGGACGGCAAAGGATGAGATGGTTAGACAGTGTCATAGATGCAACGAACATGAAGTTGAGCCAACTTCAGAGGACGGCGGAAGACAGGAGGGCCTGGCAGGAGCTCGTCCATGGGGTCGCGAAGAGTCGGACTCGACTGTGCGACTGAACAACAACAAGGGCCTGATCCAGCCCATGGGGCGCATGTTTGACACCCTTCCTCTATGGTGTACACGGAAGACTTTGGAAGTCATAAGGGACCGGCTAGTTCATGGCTGGAACTCCTGAACAATACACACACACACACACACACACTTTTTGCTTTGTTTCACTATTGCCTCTGGTCAAACAGGCTTCACAGGATTTTGAAACAGTACAAAAACCTGCCCAACCTGTTTACCACAGATGAAAGTGGAACGAGTGTTTATAAACAAAAAAATCCTTCTTTGAAACCATTTTGAACTCCACATCCTTCTAGTCTAAGTTAACATAATAAACAATGATCAATGCAAGTGGGCACAGATTAATGCAAATATGAAAATAAAACATGAGAATAAAAACAAACATTAAAAACCTGAGAATTTACATACAAATTCATAGTGAAAAATATATTTTCAGTTTTAATCTTAAATTTGTTTACTAAGTAGTAAACCAGAACAAATGACACAGAGATTTATTGGTGTTTTTAAGAATACAGTGCTTCCCCCATCCATTCTGTTTATCAACTGTGAGACTATTTCTGCAATGGTGAAATTCCCCGCATTGACAATTTTAAAACCGTGCATTATGTGAAATTTTCTGCAGTAGATTTTTCCTCACCAGGCGTAAACCTGAAGTTTTCTCCTTCTTATCCTGCGTTTTTGGAATCCCCATTTTAGTTAGTTCCGAAAACGTGGCGTAAGAAGGAGAACACTTCGGGCTTGCACTTGGTGAGGAAAAATCTACTGTGGAAAATTTCACATAATGCACAATTTTAAACATGTCAATGCAGGGAATTTCACTACTGTGGAAATGATCTGAGCGAGCCTAAAACCCTATGTATAAAAATAGTCTACAAACTGTCAGTAGATAAGACTTAGCCCTGAAAAACATATACTTTATCTTCCCCTCAAAAAAAGCATTATAAATAAACATGTCAGTGTATATTACTTGGGAATAAAATCAATTAAAACATGGAAATTAATCATATCTATTAATGAAATCTATTAAATTTGGTAGTATTTAGTGGACTGCATTCTATGTTTCTACATTCCTTTCAGAAATTTAGAATAAGATACAAGACTCAACTTATATTAAGAAACAAACTTTTTTCTTCTCAAAATAATAAAACTATAGCCTTCACAGCAATTGAAGCCAAGTTTCTTATTCAATGAAAATGGAGCAGAAAAAAATGTTCTTGAATGATTTATGGTCCCTATAATGCAACACACCTTACAACGCCTACATTTATAGTTCATAGTTTCCACTGGAAATTACGCAAACAGATGGGTCATGGCTTGAAAAGCAAAGTATATCAGAGTTTCTGCGTTATTAATTTGAATATCATGATAATGAAACATTAACACCTAGGTGCTAAAAAATATTTATCTGGAACTAGGTCCTGTTGACTTCAGTGTGATTTACTTCAGCCTTTCATCCCAACCCCAATAATGCTTACCAGGAAGTAAGCTTTATTAATTTTAATGGGACTTACTCCTCAATATTTACAATTTCAACTTAACTATTAAATTACAGGTGCATCCCTAAAAAAACCATTTAGAAGTAAATACCACTGAACTTAGTGGGACTGACTTCTGGGTAAATATGCTCAAAATCAAGCTATCTCATCTAAATAAAAAAATCACTTGACCAGATTAAGAAAACATATGCAATCAAATGCAACTTGTCAGAAGAGTGCAAGAAGTGTTTTGTAAGAATGAGGACTGAAGATGGGTGAGCAGGTAGTAATGGTGAGTCACATGACCCACTTCCATAAGGAAATAACATTTGACAACTGAAAAGAAACTACTGCCTTAAAAGAAGACAAAAGAACCTTTGCCTTAATCAGACTAGTCAACTTCTTTTTAAAAATCAAATTGGCCAAAAAAAAATCATATTTTCCAAGTATTTGTGAACAAAGAACAGGCAGAACCAGGGATTATACATATCAGCACAAATCCACTGATCAACCAGTTTGAATTTATGTAGATCAACAAATGTTCACTTGTTCAATATAATGCTTTATCAGATAGCAAACTGTTACGAAGTTGTTCAGCTACCCTTTTCAAATAATCAGACTTCAACATAAAGCACAATATACTTTACTTCTCAAAATCATTAATAAAATTGGATTGAAACAAAATATCCACTTTTAAGTAGTAGAATTAAGATTTAGTTCAGATGAAACAGCAAACTGTGGTTTGTTACTATGTAAACAAGCCTGTGGGCTCCTTGGGTTCTTGTGCTCATGCTCCCTCTTCTCTCACATGCAGCCAAATATTTAAGAGCTTTCACATTTTATGGCAAAGAACAGTTTGCTGTAAGATCTGAACCAGCAAACTATGGTTTTCACTTCCCTTGCACACCAGGATTTCAAACAGTGGTTCAATCCTGTTTTGGAATACTGGTTTGCAAACGAACTGTAGTTTGTCAGTTTAGATGTAATACCAATCTGTTTTTTTGCCACAACACAGAAATCTCTAATTATCTGGCAAAATGAAGAGAGGAGAGAGCATATCAACTTGAGAATTCTCTATGCTGGTTTTCAGTAACATCTAAACAAAAGTTTAAAAGTATACCTGTGAGAAGCTTCTTTTAGATTTTTAAAAAGTAAATCTTTTTCTCCAGAGCATTTCAAGCATTCACACATGCACAGTGTAGTCCCAAGCATGTTCTCAGAAGTAATCCCACTGGAGCTTCTGGTTTATGGCGAAACGCAGGCAGACACATCTCCCGGACATCCCGGGGATGTAAACTGCACACAAGCGTGTGGGAAGGGGTCCCAGCCAGGGGGCTATTGAGGGGTGACCTCTTCGATGGCCGAAAGCCGGAGAATTGAGGCACCCCTCTGCTCTGAAGGTCCTGCCGCTGAGTGACCGCATGGTACAAGTGCTGCTGACTGGGACAAGTGTTGGAGATTGGGCGAAATAAATGATGATGAGCAAGGCCAAAAACAAACTGTGAGTCGGGCTGACGCGAGCATGAAGATATTAAAAAAAGCTGCTCCCCCTAAAGAGCGACAGGAATGTGAGAGGGGGAGGGATCCCTCCCAAACGCATAGACGAAACACAGAAGGAAAGAGGGGGGAGCAGAAAAATAAGCGACTAAAACTATTTTAAGAGACTTACCAGAGCACAGAAAAGCATTTGGGCGAATATCAGAGACTTTAGCAACTTTTTAAAAAAGTAAACAAATCCAAAAAGATGGCAGGGAAGAAACCGTAGAAAGAGAAGCTGCTGAAATCGAAACTAGGGGCCAGTCCTCGAACGGATGAGGTCACTGAGCTCTCAAAACTCTTGGTTGACTCCCTGCGCCCCCTGCTGGATGAGATCACTGGCATTAAACAACAACTGTCAGTAATTGGGCAGAGTGTGGCAGAGCAGCAGATGCAACTGACGCAATCCTTAAAAGCAACAGAGCAAATGGGAGAGAAGGTGAAGGAAATGGACGTCACTACTAAAAAAGTTAAGAAAAAGGTGCAAAAGCTGGAAATGAAGCAAGCTACAGAAGAGGCAAAGCTTTTACAGCTACAAATGGATAAAGCAAATTTGGTCTTACGGTTTCAAGGAGTCCCGGAAATTGAAGGAGAGAATCTGAAGCAACGGCTGAGTGAAGCAATAGCCCCAATGACAGATTTAACAGCGGAATACCTTTGCAGCGAGATGGATGTGGTCTACAGGTCCTATTCATCATACATCAAGAAAAATTATCTGCCAGGGGAAATAGTGGTCAGATTCTCGAAGAGACATGTGAGAAATGCTATTCTGAAAGCAAATTCGGGAACACCCTTGAAAATTGGGGGCGATAATATCTATGTAACATGTAACTGTGCCCTTATTTGATTATTTATACCTTTAACAAGTGGCAAAAATCTCCTCCAAATAGTACAAATTTAATTTAAAACCAACAATGACTAATTTTATTATTCTCTGTATCCATGTTCACATTTCTTCCTTGCTTTGCAAAAATTAGGACAGACTATAGAGAACTTTCTGTAAAACCAACATAACCTGAAATGTATTGTTTCATAATGAAAGTAAACAAAAACGATTTCTGATCACATTCAGACACATAAATCCCAAGAAGGATTCTGCAATGACAGCAAGTAGAGTTTCTGTAAGACAGTCACAGTATTTGTTTTTTGACCAAGTAGAACTCATACATTACATTTAGCAAGTATGGTTACTGAGGAATTTAATTAACATCTCACTGCAGTTTACGATCACACATACATCTCACTGCAGTTTACAATCACACTTAAAATGTAAAATTAACTTACAGGTTAACTTTTGTTGTAACTGTTCTGGAAACATCCCAAGTATTTCTTGACTTTGTGCTGTCTAAATCAGAGGAAATTTGCTTTCCATTTGTTGTTCCCATTCCACCATTTTTGTTCTTGTCAGCATGTAGCAGAACACTTCCATCACGGCTATTAGCAGAATCTAGTGATGAGGTGCCATTACCTAAGACACCCATGGAAGCAACTTTGAAAGTTTCTGCAGTGTTCTCACCAAAAGACAGCTTTTCAACAGAAGAGCTTTTTGTCATTGGGCTACCATTCGTTGCCCTCTCCATCTGTCTTTTGGTGGATGAATCTTTCCCTTGACTCTTCAAGCCAGTAGGTGAAAGAGGAACTGCATCAGCTTGATTTTTTTTAAAAGATTTCCTCCTATAGGGGGACGAAGTTGGCGGCTGCTGTTTGTTTTTCTCCATTTCCGTTTTAGTACACCCCTTGTGATTACTACCAGTTTTCATCTCATGATTAGCTGTGGCTGTAATCTGTTGAGATGTCTTAACTTTTCTTTCAGAGTTGTTTATCTGTTCTGCAACTAAATCTGAAGAGAGACTCTCAAAAACAGTTTCTTCTTTTGCAGAAGTCTCAGTTGCATTTCTGTCCCCATTTGGCATATCACCGGATGACTGAGATTTTCTCCTCTTTCCAGATCTTCTTACAGCAGATTTTTTATCCATTTCATTTGCACTACTGTAGTTGTCATCTAATAAAGCAGTTGAAAATTCATTAGAAATTGAATGTTCAGTTCTACGAAGAAAAATATCCAACGTCAACACTCTAGAAGGGTAAGCACGCTCACTTGGCTTAGATTCCAAAACAGATGACTGATCTTTTGTGGCTGCACCTTCCAATTCTGCAAAAGGGTTCAGATTCAGCAGCTGTTTATGATTTAATATGCTATGTTCTTGGTTCTCATTACTTATATTTGTTAAACTTCTAAAAAAAATTGGAGTTGTGGTATTAGTGGCATCAGTGCTGAGATATTTTTCTGGTTCTGGTGTCTGGAGTGTAAGATTGCTATCATATAATGTATTTTTTATTGTCTCGCTACTGCTATGCCAGTCAGGTGACCATTCACTGTCAGACAAGGCTCCTTTAGAATTCCACTCTGAAACAATGTCATTATACAGCGGTGTCAGGTCTTTAGTGTAGATGTATTCTTCTGTCTCTTCAACAGTATTCTGTATCACTGGCTGGTTATGGCTGCAAAGTTTCTCAAGAAGGCACTCCTCACTTTTACTTATTTCTTTGAAGTCGTCTATTGATGCCAATGGAGTGGTATTCTTCTGAGGAGATCCTGACCTTGCAGACTTAACACTTGGCCTTAAAGATGATTCTGTAGTATTTTTGCTATTTTTTCTTCTTCCCGTAGTGAAAAAATTTCCAAATTTCCCCAAAACTGGTTTCTTTTTTTCTTCTTTAGAAGACTCTGGAGAGTGTGTTTTGGACTAAATGAAAGAATCAGAAGGGAAAACATAAAAGTTAGAATTCATTAAAAGGGTTTACTTTGTGCACATGTTTGCATTATCAAACAGTTGTACATTCAAACATATAGAAAGCTGGAAGTAAATCATTTACTGAGGTGGAATTCTCTTGTAATCTAGCATCTTATTTCTTTGAACATACATATCACATTTATGTCATTGTGAAACCAAACCCTGTTAATATAAGTATTTATTGCATTTTAAATTCAATCTCAAAACTGTTTATTTAAGCCTTCTTCAAAAACATCCAATCGCTTGCAGCAGAAATATACATCTTTCTTCCATCATCTTAGGAGTAAAGAAAATGGTATAGGAGGTACAAAATGTCTATAGAAATTTTACTAAACAGCGTACAAGTATTATATTCTTAATTACATATATAGCTGTTAGCGGCAGGTTGCAGTCACTGCAGCAGTCCGTAGCGTGACTGAGGTCAGACTTTTTACCCTTCAAGACAAAAGGCAAGCCTCTCCCCAAAAACTCTAGATTTCAAAGTATTTATTATCAGCACTAAGCAGGAGTCTGATTTGTGAAATCCTCTCCCCCAAAAAAGGCGCGCGGCGCTCCCCATCCCTCCCCTCCGTCGCCGTCAACAGAGAAAGTCCTTCGACATTTGGCAACAGCCCACTCTATTGCTCAAGAGCGGTGACAGACCAAACGATACGACCAAAGCGCTGTGATTGCGCCGCATCGAGCAGCAGCCAGGATCTTAGACAAAGCGAGAGAACCCACGCCTGCCGCCAATCCCTTCTTCCCACTCACCGAATAGCACCGAGAGGTTTCAGAACTAGGCCCGGGGCTAGCCAAAGACGAGCTGGGGGACTGCGGTCTTTGACCAGTCCGGCAGCATTGACTGGCGAAGAGGTGAGACGGGAAAGCGCGCTCCCCCACCCCGCCTTCCGCCAAACCTTTTCCTCCTCAGATAACAGCCTTGGGCAGGCTGGGAGACAAGGCAGCGGCCTCTTTCCCCCGGCGCTCCCGCATTTGTCGCGCCCTTCCGAAAGCAGCGGCAAGCCCCTTGTACTCACTCACCCGCTCTCCGCGCGGCCAGCCCCCCTCCTCCTCCGACGCCCCCCTGAGATCCTGGCTCGGCAGCCCGTTCCCGTCAGTGGCAGGCAGCGCGAGCGAGAAGAGCGCCAAGGCCGGCTGCACTGCGGAGGCGCCAACCGTCTGCGCGCCAGAGCCTGCCACGCCCGCCCGGCAGACCTGTGCCCGCCTCCGCCTCCAGGAGCCGCAGCACCAGCTGCCGCTCTACCTGGCACGGTCGCCTCAGGGAGGGCGAGGGGCCCCCAAGAGTTCCGGCTGCCGCCCAAAGAGACTGAGGCGAAGGACAGAGGAAGCGCCCTCGCGAGTCTCTACACCGTGGGAGGCCGAAACGGCGGGAGGCCCTGGGAAGCGCCTCTCGCGCCATCATGTCATTGGCTCCCCGAAGGCGGCTCAGACCCAGGATGTGTAGAGGACCCACCAGCTCTTTCGAGCATGTCACCTGGGCACGCCTGCCAGTAGGGCGCAGAGAATCCAAGGAGGAAGGGCGGGCAGTCCTTGCGCCTCTCTCGTTTCTGAAAGTCACCTCAAGGCGCACGGCATAACATGCCTTTTGGAAAAGGATTTCGACATCCTTGACGCCCCTCCATCCAGCACAGGGTGAGGCACAGCGCTGTGCCGCAAAGACTACCCTAAGGCGGGCGGAACCTCACAGGGAAGAAAAAGGGTGGAGGGAAGGTGCTAACAAGCACAGCTCTGCCCAGACAAAGAGACATGGCGAGATTTGTTGGTACAACACAAGCCCGAGCAATCCGAAATGCTGCTGCAGTACACTCTTCCCCCATCTGTTTAGCACTAAAAGCCGCCCCAAGCAAAACCGACAACCTTTGATGCACATGGTGAAAAGCCAAGATTTTTTGTTGTTTTGTTTTAAAATAACCACTTACTGCCAACATCCTCTGAAGTGGTCTTGATTATAAACAAGACTTTAATTGCATCTCAAAAGATGTTTGGAATAAATAAGATGCTCTGGGGTTTTTTTTCCCCACTGATCTGTATCTGATGAACATACAGCCTACATATCTTCCCCTTGTCTTTAAGGGAGGAGCATTCTGAAAAAAACAAATTACTTGATAGCCAGCATTCCTTGACTAGCTCATTGGGAACAAACTCTTCCAAATAACAATAAGTGTACTTTATCACAGACTTTGTTTAGTGAATGGGGAAAAGGTAGAAAAGATTGGAAGAACAATATCTACTAAGAATACTATTCAAGTCTATTCAAGGGGTTACTTCCAAGAAAGTGTTAGGATAACACTGCATATTCCCTAGATTATACAACCAACAGATCACAAGTGCACCACAAAATGCACTTCAAGGAAAGCGTTCAGATTTATACTTTATTTAAACTACCATGGCTTTACTTGCATTGATTTCTAAAATCATCTGAAAATCTAAAATCACCTACAGTGTATAAATTTTGCTCACTGAAGGTTCATTGCCTTAAGAGGTGTATAGCGCAGTAACCACAGGATAATCTCTGATTATTTATTTAAACATAGTCTTCATATACATGCCACATAGGTTTAAAGCTTCACTGGTTTTAATTTTAGTTGGATGTATAATAGGCATTGCAAATTGTACAATCTGAATTGCTTTTTCCACAGAATAGTAACTGGTGGTGTCTTAAAAAATCCTAATGACCATAGACATTTCTATTCACCTGTTCTTTTCACCAGAACTGAAAGAGAAATACATTTCTTGTCTCCCCCTCCCCACCTGTTGAACAAAGACAAGGAAAAAATATGCTGAAGCTACAAGGAATGCTTTACTCAAAACAATCTAAGCTGACAAGACATGAAGAAATTTTCATGGTATGTTTGGGTAGAATAATGACTACACCAAATGTCCATAAAATCACTTCTGAGAACTGGAAAACTAAAAACTATCCTTGTCTTAAGGGTTAAAGGCTAGAGTATATTATTATGGATGCACTCCATCACTTTGTTAGGATGCTATGATTCTATAGTAAGAGTTGTGCAACAGTGGAATCAGCTGCCTAGGGCGGTGGTGAGCTCTCCGTCACTGGCAGTCTTTAAGCAGCAGCTGGACAAACACGTATCAGGGATACTCTGGCTGATCCTACATTGAGCAGGGGGTTGGACTAGAATCCCTGTATGGCCCCTTCCAACTCTGTGATTCTATGATGTTCGCAGCTGATATTCACAAAGGAAGTTAAAGACCAGATAGTCTGCTGATAGCTGTGTACCTTTTTCAAGGAGATACCTATCTGAGAAGGCAAAACCTCTAGATGAGGGAAAGAATATGGAAACAGCTAAAAGCTGTTTGGAAAGAGTTTCTAGAGCTGGAATAGGGTTGTACATTTGGAGGAGCCATTACATGCTGCTTTGTGGATATTGTGTAGTGGGTTGCCGCATGGATGGACGACAGACAACGACGTAGTGCATAGCACGCTTTATTCGGTACACAACAAGAACAAAGAACAACGGCCGGCAGACCAACTATATACATATCCAGGAGCACACCCCTGGGTCCCATTGGCGGGTTTGAATCTCCCGCCACGGTCCCATTGGTTCCCCCAGTGGAGGGACTAGGATCCTAGTCCCCATTGTTATTCCCGCTTCAAGCTCAGGGTGTTCGCTGGCCCCCAGTGGTGGTCAGCGTACACAACATCCCTCCCCCCATAGTTCGGAACCCCCCTAGGTCACATAGTCCTTGAGGTAGGACGGGGCCCGTCGCTCTCTTGTGGACCTTCGGGGGGGCGATACTGGAATCGCTGGGGCCTCGGCCGCTGTGTCGGAGGCTCTTACCAGCGGAGGCTCTTCAGTTTCAGCAGCGCCGGCAGCTGGGGCCTCTTCCGCGACCGCCGGAGGGACGGGAGCCTCGTTTTGCTGCTCCCGCGCAGTTGGGGTCTGCGCGGGTGGTGCCTGCGCGTTCCCCTCGAGGCCTGGCTGACGTTCCGGACTTTCCGCACTCGTGTGTTCTGGGAGCATGCGCCTACGGAGTTGGCCACACTCGGTAGACACTTCATACATCTGGGTGCCCAAGGGACAGATGATGTGGCCGGCCAGCCATGCGGGCCCCCTACCAAAGTTCTTGGCGAAAACCGTGTCTTCCGGGAAAAACCCGCGGGGTGCCTCCCATTGCTCCGTCGCGTTCCGCTCCTCTGGAGCCCGATCCGGGTGCAGGCGGTCCAGCAGGGTCCTAGGCCTCCGGCCCAGAAGGAGCTCTGCTGGGCAGTGGCCAATTACCGGGTTGGGCGTGATGTGCTGTGCGAGGAGGAATTGCGCAATTCGCCTCTCCCAGTCTGCCTCCGTCAGGCGGCTCAGTGCTTCCTTAGTCGTCCGCACCATCCTTTCGGCTTGGCTGTTGGTCGCAGGGTGGAAAGGCGCTGACCTGATGTACCAGATCAGGTTGCCGCTGAGGAACTGCTGGAACTCCTCAGACGTGAACGCTGTCCCATTGTCCGAGATGATGGTGTCTGGCAGACCGTGGGTGGCGAACAGCTGTCGGAGGATGCGGATGGTGGCCCTAGTGGACGTTGTGGAGACGGGGCTGACCTCCAGCCACTTGGTGTAAGAGTCCACCGTTACCAGAAACAACAGTCCATGGAACGGTCCAGCGAAGTCTTATGTGTAGCCTGGACTACGTGGTGTGGGTGGATTCCCAGGACTGGGAAGGTGCCCCCGGTGGGCTGGGCCTCACCGCCTGGCAGGTGGCGCACTGTTTCACCCATGCTTCTACTTCTGCATCGATGCCCGGCCACCAGACGTAGCTCCGGGCGATGCCCTTCATCCTCACGATGCCCGGGTGTGCCTCGTGCAGGGCTTGCAGAAACTTTTGCCGCAGGGCACTGGGGACCGCGGTCTGGTCCCCCCACAGTAGGCACCCTTTGTGTGCCGATAACTCCACCCTGCGGCATTTGAATGCCACGAATTCTGGCCCCTCCACTTTTGTAGGCCATCCCCTCACCACCCAGCCCAGGACCCGAGATAGAATGGGGTCCCGAGCGGTGCAGCGGGCGACGTCAGCTGCCTGGAGTGGCGCATCTGGGAGGTCCTCCACCTGCAGGATGCAGTGCACTGGGGCTGGGTCCTCCACGACGTCCGGCAGGGGCAGGCGGCTGAGTGCGTCGGCGTAGCCCATCGCCTTCCCAGGGCGGTGTTCAATCCGGTACTCGTAGCCCGCCAGGAAGATGGTCCACCGTAGAATGCGCGGGGAGAGAACCTGTGGCGTTCTTCGGTCGGGCGCGAACAGGCCGAGAAGCGGGCGGTGGTTGGTGGCGATGGTGAAGGGTCAACCATAGACGAAATCGTGGAATTTTTTAACCCCGGCTACGATTGCAAGTCCTTCGCGATCTATCTGAGCGTAATTTCATTCGGCCGCAGACAGAGTGCGCGAGTAATACGCGACCGGGACCTCCCGGCCGTTAGGTAGACGATGTGCCAGTACAGCCCCAACGCCGTAGGGCGAGGCGTCGCAGGCCAGTACCACCGGCAATGACTCATCGAAGTGGGCCAACACCGCGTTGGAGATCAAAAGTTCTTTTATGTTCCGGAACGCAGCTGCCTGACGGAGTCCCCACACCCATGGGGCTTGTTTGTCCAACAGGCGATGGAGAGGCTCCGCTACCGCCACCTTGTGGGGTAGGAAGGCGTGGTAAAAGTTCAGGATACCGAGAAAAGCCTGCAATTCCGCCTTAGACTTTGGCGGTGGCGCCTCCACAATCGCTTTAACTTTGTCGCGGGTTGGGTGGCGGCCCTCAGCGTCCACCGTGAACCCCAAAAAGTCCACTGATGGCACCCCCAGGCGGCATTTGTCCAGTTTTATTTTCAGCCCAGCGTCCTGGAAACGGCTGATCACGGCACGGAGGCGAACGGCGAATTCGGCGGGCGTGGCTGCGGCGATCATCACATCATCAAAGAAGGGCATGACGCCGGGGATCCCTTTAAGCAAAGAGTCCATTAGTTGCTGGAACAGCCCAGGCGCCACGCTCACCCCAAAACTTAGTCGCTTCACAGAGAATGCCCCCGGTGGGTCACTATGGTTTGTGCTTCCGTTGTTGCCTCATCCACTGGCAACTGCTGGTAAGCCTGGGTGAGATCCAATTTGCCAAAGATCTTCGCCCCCCCCCCCCAAGGTGGCGAGAACGTGGCTAACTACAGGAACCGGGTATGCGTGGTCCTGTAACGCCTTGTTCACTGTGCATTTATAGTCCGCGCAGATGCGGACTGCCCCATTAGGTTTATTTACAACGACTATGGGGGTCTCCCCGCCGCGTGGGAGACAGGCTCCAGGATGCCTTGAGCTACAAGGCGGTCGAATTCCGCGTCGATCTTGGGTTTGACCGACAGCGGAACTGTCCTGGCTCGCATCCTAATGGGGGCCACCGAGGGGTCTAATCGC